CTACGCTGGGCGTGTGGCTTCGCAACCAACCGTAGTCCACTGCTGTCGCAACGGACACACGCAGCAACACAAGTAAACCAAGAGCTTAGCAACAGCGAAGAGGAGAACAACACACACGTTGGAAGACAATGTTGTGTTCACGATGGCAGTTTTTTACGACGTGCCCTCGTCCTTTTTTGATAGGGGTTGGAGTTTTTTTGGGGGAAAAAATTTTTATTTTTTATTTTTTGGGGTGTTTTTTTTCTTTCCTCGGGGGGCAAAAAGGGGGGGGATAGAGGGGTTTGAACTTTTGCCCTTTTGTTTTTGGGACAAACGTTTTTGCCAATTTAGGTTTTTCCCCCCCCCCCGTTTTTCCATGAACAATTTTTTTGATGGATTTTTTTAATTGTAGCAAAAGGGTTCCCATGATGAACAGTCTTCCCCCCCCCCCTTTTTTTTTTTTCCCTGGGTTTAGTTGCCCCCCCCCCCCCCCCTTGGTAGGGCTGGGAAAAACATCATCGGCTTAGAGCAGCACCGCGTATTTTTGGGGGGACACATCATTTATATGTGCTACTTACGGACGACGTTTCACGCATTCTTTAACCCGGGTCATAGGTGTTCTCTTGATGTGCTAGCTAGAGCATGGGGGTTCGCATGAGAGGACCCTAGCTCGCGCTTATTGTAGTGTACCAGAGAATGACAGGGTTCCCACGGGCCCCCCCCGATGCTCCTTTAGAAAATTTATGCTTCTTCTGTACTCGTATGCATACCCAACAGAGTCGTTTCTTCTTATTTGGGACATTTTCGGGGCGGGGGAGCCGGTAGTCTAATATTCCTGACGACTCCACCTCCTCCACGGAAAAATCGTGCGCGTCTGGTAGTGGTCTGGCATTTTTCTCTCTTTCACGTTGTTGTTAGCTAAAAATTGCCAAGAAGTGAGGCTGAACGAGATATATGTCCGGAGGTGTCGCGACACCCCCCCTCCCCCTGTTTTAAGAATTGTAGATACAGGGTATGCAGGTGCTCCGTGCCCCAGCAGGAACTTGCCAGCAATTTTCAGCCGTCGAGAGAGGCTGGCTGGGTGGATTCGAGCACAAAGAGAGACAGAGAGAGATACGTGCAGCAACTAACTGGTGGTGTGATGACGATGCCTTCTGTAACGTGTGCGCTTATGTTGTACCTGTTGATGCCCATGGGTGGAGGAGAGGCTAGATCGACGCTGCTCTGCGGTTCCTAACGGAAGCACACAGCTCTGTAAGATACAAACGTGTGCACCAGCAGCAGCAGTACCTGTGAATGTGTGTGCCTATGATGCGTGGTTGTACGTGCGAGCCGTTGTACGCTACTGTACAGTCTACTGTTGTATGCTGTCGTTTGGTTGGTCCACCGCACGTGTAGTAGTCTGCTAGGTCACAACACGAGTGCCGGGTGGTGT